TGAAGCCAGGTGGACGGCGCAGCCAGATCTCCTCGTGCAGGCTGCCCTGCAGGAAAGCAGTGCTGAAGTCAAGCGAGTGGAGCTCGTAGTCACGCTGAGCGGCGACGTGCAGCAGAACCCGAAGAGTGGTCATCTTCAGGGTCGGGGAGAAGGTCTGGAAGAAGTCAACTCCCTCTCGCTGACTGAAGCCTCGTGCAACGTAACGCGCCTTGAAGACAGGCGGAGAGCCCGGCGGCCGCTTCACCCTGAAAATCCACATGCCACTGACGATGTTCGCCCCAGGTGGGGGAACCTCGTCGACGTAGGTGCCTGTGGACTTCCAGGAAGCCATCTCTGTGTCCATGGCTGACTGCCACTGAGAGGAGTAGGGACCGGCCATCGCCTCTGCGTAAGAGCGTGGGGTCAGGATGTCTGGTGCATCCGGGTCTCCCTCAGGGGCAACAAGCATGGACATGAGATGGGGCAAAGCGGCAGCAAAGCACTCAAACTCCTCCTGCCTGTCCTCAAGGATGTCAGTGCCAAGAGCACACTCACCCCCGACGGACGGAGGACACACAGACTCAGACTCAACAACTAGGCTAGCAGCGTAGTCTAGACGACAGCGAGCAGCAAAGTCGACAAGCTCAGCAACTAAGGCAGACGCAGCAGCACACTCAAAGGAAGGGTCAGTGACAACAGTAGCCAGGAGACGCGTGACAGTAGGACTGGTAGCACGAAGAGAATCTGACCCAGGGTCAGCAAGAGCAGGAAGAGAGGAAGCAGGAGGAGACGGCAGTGGGACACGCTGTGGAGCAGTGGACGGACGAAGTGCCATCCGGTGAGTGCCTGGGACAGCAGGAAGACGCTGACGCTGGACTCGACTACTAGAGAGAGCAGTGCGGACAGGCGACTCAGGACGAGACTCAGGCGACGCAGGACGAGACGCAGGCTCACGCCGCTCAGTAAGACCTCCAGTCGGACCAGTGTAAGGAGTAGGACCAGGGAGAGAGGAGGCAGACGGTAACGCCGACTACAGCTGGACAGGCGGAGGACACGCTAAGGAGGGAGGAGGAAAAGGAGGAGGAAGCTGACCAAGAACCTGCTGAAGGAGCGGAACAAAGTACGGCCGAGACCGAGCAGCGACACCAGAGCCAGCAGGGGCACCCGCACCAGGGTCCGCAGCATCAGCAGCAGCTCCAGCGCCCACGTCCTCAGTACCAGCGGCAGCTCCAACGCCTGGGTCCTCAGCACCAGCAGCAGCTCCAACGCCCGGGTCCTCAGCACCAGCAGCGGCTCCAACGCCCGGGTCCTCAGCACCAGCAGCAGCTCCAACGCCCGGGTCCTCAGCACCAGCAGCAGCTCCAACAGCAGCGGGGTCCGTAACACGAGGCACGCCACTCCGAAGAGTGCAGCGCCGCTCGTACCACTCACGGATCCGCTCGCGGGAGGGGAGCTCCCGAACGGGAGAAGAAGCACTAGCACCAGTCCCAGTAGTACGTCCGGCTCGAGCGGTACCTCTCCGGAGGCTGCAGTACTCTAAGTACCACGCACGCAGCTGCTCCGAGGAGAGGGCTCCGCCAGGTGCAGGACTCCCAGGCCTAGTACCTCCAGACTCAGAACCCCCAGACTCCGGACTCCGCAGCTCAGCACCACGAGGCTCCACACCCCCAAGCTCAGCACCCTCAAGCTCCACACCCCCAGGCTCCACACCCCCAGGCTCCACACCCCCAGGCTCCACACCCCCAGGCTCCACACCCCCAGGCTCAGCACCCCCAGGCTCAGCACCCCCAGCAGGACGAGAGTCGACAGCTACCTCAACAGGCTCAACCGGGTCTACCTGAGACACACCTGAGGGAGCGGCACCCTGAGGGGGGAGGGGGTCTCCAACAGCAGCACCTGGCGCGAGGAAGAGAGGCGGGGGGGGAGCGGGGCAGTGCGGTAGGGGAAGAGGCGGTAGTAGGGGACAACGGGGCCTGAACGGGGCTAGCGCGGGGCCGTCAAGAGGGGCCTCTAGGGGCGTGACACGCCGAGGCGCCCTAGGGCACAGGTAGGTAGGTAGGTAGTTACGTAGTGGTGGGCCCTTAGAAAATTTCGGTCCTAGGAAGGACATGCTCTATACCATGTTGGAATCACTGAACAGGAATGGATGAACTAGCAGTGAAATGAGTACAAGTACCTAACCCTAGAATTGTGTACCCCCTATAGGCTAACCTACTGTAGCCTAAACTAACACAACATATATAATGTTTGACACTTAGAGAATGAGGGAAGGTGGAAACCTATGAGGGAGCCTGGGGGGGCTGCCAAACACGGGAGAACGGTGGAGGCACGTGCTACGACTGGGCCCCCAGAGGGGTCAGCGAGACTGACCGGGACAGGTGAAGCGAGCGGTGTGACTGTGGTGCAGTCACGGAAGAAGCAACGAGTCGCGCCTGAGTCAAGCGTGAAGGTGTGTAAAGCCTCCACATGTGCTGTAATAGTGCTACCAGGCTCACAGGCACCTAGACTAGAAACCTCTGAACCACCAGGGAAATGTTGCTGAGAAAAACACTTCCTAAGCTGCTGCGGCAAGGGAGTCTCCCGTTGACTCTGTTGCCGCTGCTGTAAAGGCTGGGTGGCAGGAGAGAGGGGGGAATAGTGTCTAACAACAGCATTGAATAAAGCCTGGGCCGACGTCACCTGTCGAAAGTGGTCCCTCTGGTCGACTAGCAGGAGAGATCGGACTGCATGCTGGGCAACAGCGTCGCGCTCCGTCCACTGTCTGTAGGCGAGGATGTCCGCCCGTATCGCCTCTGCACCTCCTCGTCAGCGTCAGCAGCAGGCTCGGTGGGAGTCGTAGGGGCCGGAAGTGACCCCGAGGTGTGCCCGAATAGGGAGACGCCATCTCGGAGGTAACACTGGAGATGCAAGCGCAGGCACATAAGCCAGAAGTCGAACTGGTACGGGAGTCCGTCGGTGTCAAACGATAAGACTGGTGGCGTTGCCATGAGTGTAGCCATCGTTAATAGTAGCAGTAACGATTGCAGCAGTAGCAGCGGCAATAGCAGAAGCAGCAGTGCAGCACGGCGCGGCTCGGCAGGGCGGCGCGGCTCGGCAGGGCGGCTCGGCTCGCGGCGTGGCTCGGGCGGTGCAGCGCGGCTCGAGCACGGCGGGGCAGTGCGGCGCTGGCAGCAGCAGCTGCTGCAGCGCGGGCAGGGCGCTGGGCGGGCAGAGCGCGGGCAGGGCGAGCCAACATCCCCTCCAAAAAAGATAATACCCAAAACGAAACTTGAGGCATTTTCGGATGAATCAACTCTAAACACAACTCGCCATGTGTTTAGGGTTGATCCGTTCCCAAACCGCATCCGATTCCGATTGGGATATAGTTTTCTTAGAAGTTAGCTGATTGGTTGGGCACGAGCAGAAATTTTGTAGAGTTTTAAGATTTTTTTTGCAGGAGTTACATGTGTGACCATTCGCGTGATTTCTTACCTGTTGTTAGAAACTGAATCCGTGACCCCACTTACCAAACCCGTTAGCGAACCCGATATAGTGACCGTACACGTTAATTTATTACTATTCACGTATCAAGTCCCATGTTGGTCACTTGTGACATATTTTCCCAAAGACAAATGTGCCCTGAATGCAATATGAACAATGAGGGCGGATCCAGCGCATACATTTTCCGTACATTACAGTTCATCCAGTGCAGTAATCTGTATTGCGTCACGGTTCAAAACGGTGCAATTTCAAAACCGTTGTGCACTCCCTAATATATTTTCAAACCACTACGAATGAACTGTTGTTAGAGGGGTGTTTACTGTTCCCTTTGAACATTACTCCCAACCCCATCCTTATCCTTATCTTTTCAGATTTCCTAGTGCCACGTGGCACTCTACCTTTCTTGCTTCTACTTTCTAGTCCCACGAAGTACTTTCCGACATTCGACCTTGCATGCTATATCATCCTTGCTTGTATCCACCAATATCAATCAATTCTCATTCAACTCTTCAATTACTCAGTTACCTGTTCGCTTATTTCGCCAAAGTCTTCCGCCGCGTTTATCCTCAATTTAGTCAACCCCGCTATTCTTTAGCGGACTTAGGCCAAGGGGCCTAACAACTGTAAAGTAAACGTACACGCTGGACCCCCCCTGAGCAGCTAATTGTCATGAGGGTGGGATGCTTGAGATGTGCTACTTCGGGAGCTCCACGAGTGTGATCTCCATCCAATAGCATGAAGCGCTTTGGTGCGCTGTTCCAATTGTGTGCGCCAGGCGACAGCTTACACGAGCCACGGCAGCGCTGGTGGGAAAGCCTGTCTCGACTGGCAGGCTGGCAGCCATTCAACGCGGACTGCAGCGGCTCTGCTCTTGTGACTTGGCCGAGCCTCGAGGCCAACCAATCGCCGTTCCTCATCACCTCATGCTACCTGTGTGCGATTTGTACGCGTTAGGGACAACACAAAGTTCGCATCTCACGTATAGCTGAAGTACAGCCATCAAGAAGAAGCCTTGATGACCCCACACAAAACTTACCAAAAAGTCCCTCCACAATTCTCGGATGAATGCGTTTGTGCTCCACGGTGGAGCTGCACGGTGTAGCAATCAGCGGGACGAACCTGATTTCGCACTCGAGAAACGATTTGTGTGACCTTGTCTAAACACGCCCTTCCGCTCCCGGTTCAACGGTTGCTAAAAAGGTGAAATCCAAACCCACACAGCTTCCTCGCCTCCAGCTTGCCGCACATCCAATCCTGTATCTGTTGGGTTGACCACCACCTCTCCGCCCAGCTAGTGTGTTCGACTTAGCGTGTAGGTACCCAACAGCGATCACTGCTCGTGCTACACCTGCTTTACCGCGCGCCCCTCCACCCGTACCTTGGAGTTGGCCCCGCCTTGGGCTTATCGAGCCACGCCCGCTACACACGACCTCGTCTAGTGGGATTGCACCTCTCTCTTTCCTGCCCGCGAAGTTCGCATTCTTTCGCCAGGAGATTTCGTCGCGTGCCCACGTGCGGCGGCTCGCTCCCCGCGCATGGCGATGGACGGCGGCGTCAGCGTGCGCAACGATCGCATGGGGATGGCCGCGGGAGGTGGCAAGGCGGACGCGGCGAGCCACGAGGGCGGCGCGCAACAGGCGGCGAGCGGCAGCCCGTTAGAGGTGAGCGCGATGGCGCGGGCGTGGCGGACCTGGGATGCGGCGTTGGCGGAGGAAGCGGCGATCGGCACGGTGGGCAACAGGCTCAGGCGCAGAATATCATCGACCCGCTTCCGATGCTCCCCGCTCCTTCTTTCCCTTCTCCGTATCGGTGCTATGTTGCGCGCGCGATGCTGCCTCTCTCTGACATGATCCCTCTCTCCCCCTCCCTCTCTCTCACTCACTCGCTCACTCACTCACTCACACGCTCGCACGCACGCACACGCGCGCACGCTCCAACACACGCACTCTCGCACGCGCGCACACACACACACACAGAAACACAACAGACACACACGCACACACACACACACACACACACACACACACATTCACACACCCACACACACACACACACACACACACACACACACACGCGCGCGCGCGCGCGCACACACACACACACACACAAACAACGCTTTACTTCCCCCCTACCCCCCACCGCCCCCCCCGTTCCCCACCTTGTCGCCCTGACGAGCGCGCAGGGGCCGGTGTGGGTGGAGGCGAGGGCCAGCTGTGCGCACATACACGCCATCACCACGCTGGGCGACCTGCCCTCCACGCACGCGCTCTGCAAGCAGTATGCCTCCACCCACCCACGCTACCCGTCCCCTCGTCCTTCCTGCACGGCTCCAGCTCTTCCCCCCCTCCCCCCCACCCCTCATTCACTGTGCTCTGCTCCTCTCGTTGTCGTGCTTTTTCCGCGATTTGCTCGCTCCTCCATACATGTAGGATAGGGATGAGAGCAGGCTTACCACTGAAGGATAGAGTGCAAGGAAGGGGGCTTGCAGGATGAGTGTGGTGGCGGCAGCACACTGGGCAGTGGCAGTCACAGCACACTTTGCAAGCACACCCCACCACCCTACATCCCCACCACACACCCGCACCATGCAAGTCGCTGGTTTCCCCTGCCGCTGTGCCCCTTGGTGCACAGGTGCGGGTGTGCGGCGGACAACTGGGTGTGTCTGTCGTGTGGCGTGGTGGCGTGCGGGCGGTCAGAGGGCGCTCACATGGTGAAGCACTTCTACGCCACAGGCCACCCACTCGCTGCTGGCTTCAGGTGCACGCTCGCACATGCGCACCTGCATGGGGCTGACCTGCCCTGGACATGCGCTTGATTCGTCGTCACTTCTTGCATGCGCTCACTCTGCGCAATGCTGTTTCTGTCATCCCTCAACCCCACCTCTTACTCGTTTCTGGCAAACGCTTATCTATTCGCTCATCCTTCTCTCTCCTATCCACCCCCCCCTCATCCCCCACAACCCACCCCCCTCCCCTCCCCCGGTGCCCTGTAACGCATGTGGGGCATGCAGGGATTCGTCGGTGTGGTGTTTCCAGTGCGACTCCTACCTGGACGCTTTAAGAATACCAACCCTTCGCCCTCTCTTCCACTCCCTCTATCGCTCCAAGTCTGGTCAATACTCCGATCTGTCCCTGCACTCTCACGCCCATTCACCCACCTCTGCCTCAGCATCGGCCACAGCATCTCTAAGTTAGTCGCAGTACGTGGGCCTGTGCATAAAATCCTTGCCACTTCGGTGTCCTTGTTGGCTTCATCCGTGTGCTCGCTGCTGCCAGAAACATGTGCCGTGGACTTGGCTTGGGAAACAGCTCTTCAGCTTCATGCTGAAATCCCCCACTGTTTTTTTCCACCAGTAAACCGCTCTGATTATATGGAAATCAGAGTTCTATCTTAGGTAGGCATGGTTGGATAGCGATTTTGAGTTTTGTACTAAGAATATTAATGAAAACACACAGAAATCTAATATAGCAAAGAAAGCCTCTATTCCTTCGGATAGAGGACCTCTAGAGGTGGACCTGCGATTGTGACACGACTCTCAGACGAGCGTGCAGTGTAGTCGTCATAGCAGTCGTCATAGCATTTCACAGTATAAGGATACAGCACACTCTATAACAACGAATACATGTGGTGAACGAAATATTGATGCACAAGCGATCAACTACGAAGGGGAGTGGAGGGTAGGAGCAAGAGAAAGTGAAAGTTGCAAAAAAGACTACCGGTAGGTGGCAGGTCCCTTGGACCTGCCGAAACGTACCGTAATACCCCGGATATAAGCGCACCTGCGCTTATAGTTGTTGGGCTGAGATGCCCTAGGATCTTTGTAGAGTTAAAGTCTGAGTAGGATTGTAATAGCGGAAGCATTTGAATGAAAAGTCCTTGAACCACCTTGCGCTAGTATGTGAGGGCAAAGTGAGTTGATTAAAACAAGCAAATACAAGGCTTTTTATATAAGAGTACAAGGAATACGAATAGATATAATTAAACTGTTTTGCTGTTGCGATTCGATACAGTGCGACTCGGGCAACTGCTCAATGTCGAGTCAGTTGTGTGTCCTTGCTGTCGCGCTGTATTTGTCAAGTCAAAGGTCGCTGACTTTTGACCTTCGCGTAACCTCCAGGCGGTTACCCTAACCTCCGAGGGTTGACTCGCGATGCTTCGATTTGGACTGCTTCGCTTGTGTCCTGAGTTTCGACACGACAGAGGCGCTTTAAGACTTATTGTTCCCAACACTCCCCTTCGCTTCTAGAGTGTCGCTAATGGTGACGTGGCCTTGTCCAGTCAGCAGCATGCAGTACTCGAACTTCTGTTTTCCGAGTTTCTTGGTCAAGTAATCGGCTGCCATCTCGGACGTGGGACAGTAGGATGATTCGAGTTTCCCTTTCTCGATCTCGTCTTTCACGAAGAAGTATCGCATAGCGATATGCTTCGTTCTGTTCGCGAATCCGCTTTTGTTGGCGATGCGAATTGCAGATTGGTTGTCGCAGAATAGGGTGAAGTTGGGTAACTCGGCTAACTTTGCTTCTTCCAGCAGCTCGCGAAGGTAGAGTCCTTCCTTGGTGGCTGAGCAGAGGGCGATATATTCTTCTTCAGCTGAAGAGAGAGCGACTAGTTCCTGCTTGCTCGACTGCCAGGAGATAGGTCCGATAGGCTCGAGACGATAGACGTAGCCAGTGCGAGAGCGCCTATTGTCGAAATCGCCGGCATGATCGACATCGACGTAGCCGATTAGTTTCGTGGTCGTAGTTTCGTTTTTGTAGTAAGTCAGGCCGATCGTCGGAGTGCTCACGAAGTAGTGTAGTGCGCGATCGAGCTCCGCCAGGTGCTCTGCTTCGGGTTTCTTGAGGTAGGTAGCGAGTTGGCTTGCGGAGTAGGATAGATCCGGGCGGCAGGTGACGGCTGCGAAGAGGAGGCAGCCCAGTTTCCTCTGGTAGTCTCGTATTCCGGCAGCTTTGAGTGGAGCGGAATTTCCTTTGTTACTTCCTGCCGTGTAGCGATATGGCGTGGCGATAGCAGTAGGTGTGAGCGAGAAGTGCTTGGCAATAGTGTCGGCGTATTTCTCGGCGCTTAAGTAGATAGCATTTTCTTCTTCGCGGATGTTGAGCCCGAGGTACTGGGTGACGGTAGAAGAAACCGTGAGCGTGAGATCCTTCTGCAGCTCCCCTTCGAACCAGGTGGTGATGTCGTCGGTGGAGCCGATGTAGAGTAGGTCGTCGACGTAGACGATCAGTAGGATGTAATCGGCGTCTTTAGTGAATCGATACATTCCTTGGTCGTGCGGCAGTTGGCGGAATCCGATGCGAGTGAGTCGGGTGTGTAGGTGCTGTTGCCACAGCCGCGGGGCTTGTTTGATTCCGTAGAGCGATTTCAGTAGCTGGCAGACCTGATTGGGGTTTCCGTGGGTACCGTGTGGGAGTTCGACGAAGATTTCGGCGTCGATGGGTGCGTAGAGAAATGCGTTGGCGAGATCGATTTGTCGCAGTTTCTTCTTCTTCATGGCGGCAACGGCGAGAAGAATTCGAAGAGAGGTATGTCGACTAACTGGGGCGAATGTCTCGGTGAAGTCTCGTCCTTGCTCTTGGTTGAATCCACGCACGACCCAGCGTGCTTTGAACTTCTCGATTGTGCCGTCTGCTTTCGTTTTGATGCGGAAGACCCATTTCCCGGTGAGAATGGTCTTGTTCCTTGCCACGCTTGCGGGAACGACCTTCCAAGTGTTGCGTTCCTCCAGTGCCTTTAACTCTCTGTCCATGGCTTCGCGCCATTTCTCCCAGTGTTCCCCCCCCAGAGCCTGCTGAACCGTCGCAGGCTCCTTAGGAAGTGCGTTGCCGTGGACTGCGGTGACGAGGCCGAGGATTTGCAGTCCAGTCTGTGAGTATCAGGGGAGTGTTGGATCCTCGGGATAAGCTGCTTCGTCTCCCGCTTCTGGATCGGGTATGAAATTTGGCCCTATCCGTTCTGCTTCGTTTGTGTTGACTGTCGCAGGTGTTACGTAACCGTTGTCGGCGAAGTGATAGAAGACTTCGGCGTTGACACTGTCGCGAGGATTGTCTTCGTCCATGGGCACGTCGACGGAGCAGTACGGGAGAGGTCCGGTTTCTTCCGATGCGTTGTCGACGTTCTGTTCATCCCAGTCTGCTTCGTCCGCTGCTGAGGCGAAGGCTCGGTCACCACGAAAACCACCTGTGGGGTCCTGATTCTCGTGCAAGTTGGCGAGGTACGTTTGAAGGGTGAGTCGCTCGTAGAAGGTCACATCACGTGCTGCTACTGTTTCCTTTGAGTGGACATCGAAAATTTTCCACGCGTTGTAATTTTTCTCGATGCCGAGGTGTAGTCCCCACTGTGCCCGTTGTGAAAATCTTCCCGCTCGTGCTTCTGGGGGTCGGTACTGCACCATGCATCCGAAAACTCATAACATTCTTGTGCTGCCCTGCTTTCCTGTCCACAGCAGATGCGGTGATGCGTTGTTCGGGAGTGACGACGACGACAGCAAGTTGTGCAGCATGACAGCATGGTCCATTGCTGCAGGCCACTGGTGGTTGGGTAGCCACATGCCACGTAGCAGTTTGCGCATGCTGTTCTGCAGAGTCCTGTTCATTCTTTCTGCAACACCTTGCTGCTGATGGGCGTAGGGAAGGGAGAGGAGTTGCTTGATTCCCCTTTCCGCCAGGTACTGCTTGAAGCGCTGAGAGGTGTATTCTCCTCCTCCGTCTGACTGGAAGCTTTTCAGCTGTGTTCCTGACTCCCTCTCTGCTACCGGTAGCCAAGCGGCGAACGCTGCGAGTGCCATGTCGCGGCTGGGTAGGTTTCGATGCCAGACGTATCGAGTGGCGGCGTCGATGAAGGTTATCGTGTAATTGTAAGTGACTTGTCCTGGTTCTCGATTGAAGAGGATGTCGCTGTATACTTTCTCGAGTGGTGCGTATGCAGGTGCGCTCGGGTTGTGGTGAGAAGAAAACGGTCGATGGGGTAAGTCGGCTTCGGGGCAGATGAGGCAAGTTCCTCGTGCCCGTTGAAGTTCTCTGCCGTCGGGTAGTAGTAGCGAATCTTTGTCGAGGACTCCTGCTCGTATTGTGTTATTTAATACTGTGTTGCTTGGATGTCCTGTGCGTGCGTGCCAGATGTCTTCAGGAGCGCGATGTCCGGGTGAGCGTTGATACGCGTCGGAGTTGGAGTAGAAGGTGGCGACGACATTGGCGCTTTTGTGGACTTCTCGTTGAGTCGGGTTCAGTTGCTGTGCGGGTGTTGGTGGTGCTTTGTCGACGATGACTGGTTTCGTTGGTTCTGCTGCTACCGATGATGTCTCTGCTGCTGCCGATGTTGTCTCTGCTGCTGTCGATGCTGTCTCTGCTACTGCCGTTTGTTGAATTGTTGCTAACGCTCGTGTTCGTTCTGCTTCAAGGATGGTGTGCGAGTACCAGAAACCTCCCGGGCTGAAGTCGGGATCGAGATCCGGGGGATGTGTCCAATCGGCGAAGTTGACGATGGCGTCGCTATCTGCAGTGCCAAGGTCGGGGACGAAGACGTTGTTCTTCAAAACTGCTCTTCCGATGTAGAGGCCGCCCTTCTCGTGGTACAGTTTAAACTCCTGGGTGGTGCTGTCGGCTTCCAAGTGGATGCCTTTCGCCATCAGCTGGCTGACACTCAGTAAGTTATAACCGAGTCCTTCTGTGATGAGTACCTTTGACATGTGCAGTATGACGTTTGTCTCTCTTGATTGAAGCTGAACTACTCCTTGTCGTCGTGTGCGCAGGTTCTGGTTGTTGGCGACCGTGATGACTACTTCTCGCTGGAGTCGATGTTCGCGTTGAACGAAGCGTCCCGAGGAGCACATATGTTGTCCACAGCAACTGTCCAAGAACCTGGTGTCTTGCCCGGACGGTTCGCTTTGAGCGATGGCGGCGTACGTCGGATCCGGTTGGAGTGACTCGCGGCGAGGCGTCCTGTTGTCGAGCTCTTCTTCCGGTGAGTAGTGAGGTGGTGATTCGGTTGTGCACGAATCAGTTATCTTCACCATGCAATTGACAATGTTTCTTGCTCCTTGTGCAGATTGTCATGTTGGAGTCGTTGAAGCTTGGATTGAGGTCGTCGGATTTGCTTGTGTTGAGGCAACTTGGGAGCTTGAAGGCCGGAGTTGTCGCTGTGGTGTTGTCTGACGAGACGGACAGTGCGTGCGAGGGTGTCCCGAAGTCTTGCA